AAAACCAGCAGGACTGTACTACTATACAAGAAAGGAGACATCCACGACATTGGCAATTATTGCCCAATCTGCCTATTGTCTGTCATCTACAAACTATTCACTCGAGTCATCCTGAATAGGATTAGCAGAACACTAGATGAAGGACAACCATGCGAACAAGCTGGATTCTGAAAAAGATTCAGTACCATCGACTATATCCACACAATAACCAAGCTCATTGAGGTATCTCAGGAGTTCGAGATGCCGCTCTGTCTAACATTCACTGATTTAAAGAAGGCCTTTGATTCTGTTGAGACGGAAGCGGTCATGGAAGCCCTAGCCAATCAGGGCATACAAACTCAATACATCAGGATCCTTCTTGAGCTCTATTGCGGATTCACTACCAAGATCTCACCATTCTACAAAGAAGTAATCATCCATATCAAGAGAGGGCTTCGACAGGGTGATAAAATTTCACCAAAACTCTTCAGTGCCACCCTCGAGAACATCATGCGACGACTGGAATGGGAAAACATGGGAATGAAGATAGATGGTCGGCAACTACACCACCTCCACTTTGCTGATGACATTGTTCTAATAACACCAAACATCAGCCAAGCGGCACAAATGCTGAATGACTTTGACCGTGAATGTGGAAAGGTCAGACTACAGCTGAATCTTACGAAGACAATGTTTATGAGAAACAACCTTGTTCCTGACACTCCATTCGCTCTCAACGGAACCACCATCTCCGAATGCAACAGTTATATATACCTAGGTCAAGAAATCAACATGATGAATGACCTGGCACCTGAGTTGCGCAGGAGGAAGAGAGCGGCTTGGAATGCCTTCAAGAGCATTGAAGAAATAACTAAAAGGACAAAGAACTTCCAGCTATGAGCACATCTCTTTGATTCCACTATTCTTCCTGCATTAACATATGTCTCAGAGACCTGGACCCTACGAAAACAGGATGAGAACGCTATTTGGGTCTCTCAAAGAGGAATCGAAAGAACTATGCTTGGAATATCACGATTCACTCAAATGAGAGATAGAATCCAGAGTTCTGATCTTCGTCAACGCTCAAGAATCAGGGACGCTGTCTCATTTGCCAAGACATCAAAAATCAGATGGGCTGGACACGTAATGAGGTTTACAGACAACCGCTGGTCTAGAGCCATTACTGATTGGATTCCACGGGACATCAAAAGATCACGTGGACGCCCACCTATAAGATGGTCAGAATTCTTCGTCAAGACCCTAAATGATCGTTTTGAAGCTCTGCATGTTCCTAGAATGAACAGATACCATTGGGCTACGCTAGCACGCAACCGGGATGAATGGAGACGTTACTGGCACCCGCTCGAATAAATCGATGAATAACGGGGATTAAGTGATTAAGTTATATACATAATTTAATACATTTTAAATCAATATTTAGATTACATTTTGAATGATCTAATTATTAAAAACCTGAGATAAGTAAATTTTCTTTTGTTTTACATGTTAACTTTTCATTGTATAGATATCAATTTAGTGTATTTTTTAATAAAATATAAAATATAAAAATATAAAATTTATTTCTACTCATTCAATAATTTGTCATTTTTAGTCAAGTCATTTGAGCAACATTCATTTATACCAAAGATTTCGAGCCTTTTTCTATATTTTTGAGCTGGGCACTTATAAAGTTGATCATGACTGGCTTTCAGTCATACACTGTTCTAACACCTGTCCCTTTACCAGTGTATATTTCCTACCACCAATATCCCCAGTTTTCCTCCTACCAACCCCACCAAGCCTGCCTTTATGGCAGGCACTTTTTTGAGTCTTTCCCTTATATAACCAAATATGAAGCTAAGCTATTTAATATGCAAGATCACTCTCACTGTCACTGTCCTCCCGTTGTTCATCGATTTGCTCGAGAAGGCCCAGTAATGTCTCCATTGGAGACTTTGTTCTTACTATGTTTGGCATATCAAATACATCACGGGCAGCTTGCCAAGATAACAGTTTTAAATAATTTAAATTTTCCATTAATCTTATTACATGTATGTATTTATATGGATTAAATAATCATGTGATTCACAACTTTTCTAGCACACATATTTGAACAAAGTGTTATGCTACTGTATGCTAAGGACATCGTGCTCTGCTGAGTCTCTTTTCTCTTGAAACAAGTGGGGAAAACCGCACACGAAACGCTAGCAACATTAGTTAGGAAGGTCACCATCAATAAACAACTCTGCATTTAGCCAGAGATATGGAAGCACATTCTTTTAATAAGTGCACTTTCCCCCTGCATTGGAGCTTTATTACTTGCATGAAAGTACAGAAATAAGAGATCCACTTTCTATGAGCAATCACTTACAGCACTCTGAGAATGAAAAACACTAAAATTGAGAAAAACTTCATGTAAAATTTAGGTCACTATGAAATAGTATTTTATCTATGAATCTTCCTTTAGCTATAGCTTTTTCAGCTCTTCACAATCAAGTATTAAAACAAACTGAGGTGGAATTTTACTTTTCTATTAATGCTCCATTAGTAACTGTGAACCTGGCTGCCCCAAGGTCTCGCTATTTTAATAAAAATATTTAGGCCCCTTTGCGTCTAAGTGCAGCTCATTGCATTCTAATTCTTAAGTCATGTCTAACATATTTTGCCCACAAAGTTGGCTTGGCTTATGTTTCCTCTTCATTCTAAATCTCTACAATATGTAGAGAAACACTTTTTAAAAAGTAAGACTCTCCTATTAGCTCTTTTCTCCAATAATATGAAAACCCTAAATATATTTTCCACACAGAATTAAATTAGGCCTTCCAGATTTAATGTGGGTACCTGTTCACAATCTGTCTATCATCTGATCACTTTATTAGTATGTATCATGTGCAAATATGGGAAGACAAATTTAAGTAATTGCGAATGAACTTTCTTGAATGACCCAGGAACTAAAAAGGATGACTATTCATTTTTTATAATTTTCTGGAGTGCTTTTTTTATCCTCTGCCTCAAATTTCCTAGAGTTTAATATGATCCATGATGGATTTTAACATTTTTCAAACTACTAAAATTTGTACTTACTAAACCTCTGTGTTATCTCTATTTCTTGCATCTTCATCCAAACCTTCAGTTCTTTCCCTAAGCAAATAAATGTGTTCCCTGATATTTAAACAAAGGAGGATTCACAGCCCTTAGAGTTGTTTGATTCTAGAACTTGGAGTCTTTTCTACTCCTCATAGGCGGAGCTGAACTGTTTGAAATATAATTTCTACATTCCATCTCTATTTTTTCATATTTGATTCTCTTCCACAATAATAAAGGCTTATCTAGGTCTAGCACTCCAATTCCCATGACCCTAGTAAACACTTGGTCCTCAATTAATTTGGACAATTCTTTTTTACTTCAAATTTCTTCTTCTTCCATAATCCCTATATCCAATTACATTACCAATTGAAAGTCAAACCACCTATTTTTATTCATGCTCTACTTTTTAGTCTTACAGGTATATGGTCTTAAGAGCAGCTTGCAGTTTATTTCAGATGGAAGCTATGAGAAACGGAATCATCATTAGATTTGCCTTAAATTTTAAGGCAAATTTGCCTCAAATAATATGCTATTCATATCTTGCTGTAATGACTTCTTCAGTAAAATCCACTTGCTTAAGAAATTAAGCTTTTTAAAAGGCAAATCCAGGAATTGGAGGGGGAAAATAAAGATGAAGGAAACTATCAGAGATTTCATTTCTATGTGGATGTAGAGAAGCAAATAATTCTACAGGCAAAACCAACAGGAAAATTCCAGTGGGCTCAGACTGTAGTTACTGTATGGAGGATTGGAGAGGGAAGAAAATGGGAGACGGAATCTAAAGGACCAGAGTGAAGGAATAGTACTAGTCTGGTAGTGATGCTGCAATAACATATACATTGAGCAGTGTAAGATTGTGTCGTTAAAATATATACAACAGAAACTGATATTATTGAAATTTTAAAATTTAAGGCAAATCTAATGATGACTCCATTCTCATAGCTTCTATCTGAAATAAACTACAAGCTGCTCTTAAGACCACATACCTGTATATTTTGTCCATGATTTCTTTCCTTAAGTTTTCACTCCACTTGTAATACCCTTGGAATATATCATTGTAGTCAAACCTCCCTGGCTACACACACACACACACACACACACACACACACACACAAACTGGAGTTTCCTGGATCCCAACCTTCTCTAGATGATCTGCTAGATCTTTACCCTCCCAACTGCAACTCAAGAAAAAGCACCTTCTGAAAGTTATTCACTCTCTTCCAGGTGCAGGTGAATTTTTTTCTGTTTCCTTTTTACTCGGCACCTTGCAAATTCTTCCTTCTTGCGCTTCACTGTATGAAAATAATCACTTGTTTGTCCTTCCTTACCAAACCACAATGTTCTTAAGGAAAGGGTTTACTCATTTATTTTCCTTTCTGACTCCCTACACCTAGAGTTTTTCTCAATCAATGATGACTGAATTGATATTTCACAAGATAATCACATTATTATTTATTTATTCATTATTTATTTAGTGTACATATTCAATATGCCGAAAACAGTAACAACAAGTCTCACAATTTGTTGTGAGACATTACTGGTGGCCGCTCAAGCAAATCGATGAACAACGGGAGGACAGAGCCACAGTGCTACAGTGCTATTTATTGTGGCATACTTGTCTGCACTCAGGGATTACTCCAGCTCTGTTCTCAGAGACCAAGATAACTCCTGGCAGGCTCAGGTCACTACATATAGTACAGGGGAATCAGTGTTTGTGGCATATGCCCCTTACCTGCTACACTCTCTCTAGTACAATTTTTCGAGCCCTTGAAAGACTTAGAAGACTAGATCGATAAGAATGCACAGGGTTGTGTCAATGAGCGTTTACTACCATTCTTCTAGCCTTTAATGCCCTTGCACAACTATTTATAAGTCACTTCCAATTTAAGAGACTAGACTTAACAAAATGTGAGAAAGGCAAGATGAATGCTTACAGTTCTTGCATCCCATACTGAGAGTGTCTTATCTGCAGAGCCCGTGAGAAGAATTCTGGAGCAAGGGAAAAACTCAATGGTATTGACAGACTCTGTATGTCCATACAGAGTGTATCTGCATCTTCCACTGTGCAGAGAAAAGAATAAGAGTTAAATGTTTAGGAGCTAGCACCCATACATTTCCTATGGTGTCTATGCAATACTCAGCAAGCTAGACATAGATTGTTTTTCATGAATGGAATAATACTTAACATTTTAAATGTAGGTTCCAACACCTTTTTAAGCATTTATAGACTTAGGAACACAAAATTGACTGAATTTAAATTTCACTTTGTCAATATCTTCATCAAATCATTTATTTCTTATTATGAAGAAACTTCTTTAAAAAGTATCCCTATCTAATAAAGGAGTAAGCTAATAAAGAAGACATTTCACTACAGAGTAAATCAAAATGAACTGGTTTAGTTTATTTCGTTTCTTTTTTCTCAGCACCAGCTGTGAACTAGAATCACCTGAAATACTTTTAGCACATACTGGAACTCAAGTCCTAGATATGTTCTCTCTCTCTATTGGTACCTGATGGAGTATGAAAATTAGTGTGAATTACTATCTACTCTGGTAATTATAATTTGACTTTAGTGAGAAGACTACATCAGAGATTCTTAAATTCTTTTACCCATGGCAACAGTATTAGCCTCACTTGGGAAGGTGTCAGATATACAAGTTCTTTGGTCTCATACTCTTAACTACAGAAGTAGAAACTTGGTGGAGTGTGGATTTCAACAATATGTTAAAACAAGTTCTCCGGGTTATTTGGATAACCAGTGTTCCACATGATTATCAGTAACAGAAAAGAAAGAAAATTGTAGGTTTGCTTTTGCATTTTATGTAATGGGGATGAATCCTATAAAATGAACACATGGAGAACAGTGACCTCTCCTTTGTAATGGCTGTTGTGTTTGGGAATTTTATTTTACTTTTTGGATCATACATGGCAATGCTCTGGTGTTGATTCTGGCTCTGCACTTGGGAATTACCCCTGGAAGTACTGAGGGACCACATGGAATACCAGGGATGGGTCTTGGGTCTATCTTATGCCTTGCATATGCTCACTGTAGCATCTCTGAAGGCCTCATGTCTTGTTTATTTTACAGTGACCACTTATACTCCAGTCTAACAAAGAAGGGTTGCTGCAGCATTATAATACTGAGGACAGAAGAGTCTGTGTAAGTGCAGTTCCGCACTTCTAGCCAATAAGAAAAGCTATGGTCATAGGTTCCTCTCTGTCTTGAACCATGTGAAATACTCAAGAAGCATCATAATATAGTGTTGTGAAGAAAACTCTGCAGTGAGAGCTGGGGTATTGGGTTCCAGTCCTAATTTTGACAATTTTTAACAGGGAATCCATAGGCATCTCATCTAATATTGATTGCTGTATATATCCTTCTTTAGAAAGTAAGATTAATTGGATGTGCTGAGAGATCCAGTACAGCTCCAATATTCTGATATTCTTTGACTAAAGTTGTGATTAGTTGCAAAGAGGAGTAGTCATTGTAATTTTCACAGTGAATAACTCTATGGAGCAAATTTTCCCCATTATTACCATATAATTCTCACTTGTAATCTGTGTATGTATGAGTGTATTTGGGGGAAGAGTATTAGGAAGGGTTCAATACAAACATATTTTTTTTCTATTTAACTTATTTCATATTTCTTGGTCTGCCTTTCATTTGCATTTATCATCTTATAAAACCATAAGGAATATGTTTTTTATTTCATTATATTTTTTTATTTCATAATTTTTTATTTCATTACAGAAAATCAATTTAAAATGTATCATTTCTTTCCCTTTAAAAATATAGAGTAATTTTTGTTTAAATCACTGATTTATTTGCCAATCCCTTATGCACTGAATGTTATTCAGTGCAGTTTGATTTAAATAACTTTGTTCATCTTTTGCAATACTTCATAAGTTCAATTTATTTTTATTATGACTTTTAAATAATAATAAAATAAAGAAATGTCTTGTGAGCATTTGTATATTTAACCTAATAATCACTATTGTATTTCTTCCTCAATGTTAAACAATTATAAAATTACAAAAAATATATGAGGCAACTATTTCCTGATAAAGAATGAAAAGGGTTATTAGGCAAAGGGAAAAAAAAAACCTATTTGATTTCAGCAAACTTTCTAAACCTTCTGCTTGAAAGCCCTTCTCTACTATAAACTACCCTAGTATAACCACAGTATATGGAAATCTCCTGAGCCAAGGTACAGTGTGAACAATGTAGGTTACTGATGTGCCTGAAATTCGCAGTGTTAGGTACCAAGGATAAAGGAGCTGCACTGGGAATGACAGTAGTTAGTGTGAAAATTTGCTATAACTTGATAGCTGTCAGGGCCTAGATGGTACTTCTACAGAGTGAAACTCTATAAAGCTTAGCAGAGATTCACTAGTTGGTTGGAAGATAAAAAATCAGAAAACAGCACTGCTGGAAGACATTGGGGCTTAATCCCAATCCAAATGCAGATGTCAATAATTCACACATTCAGTAGATTCCAGATAGTTCCTACCATGGGAGTAAAAATTAAGAAGTAAGAAATGTAGCCCTGATGTATTTCTGAAAATAACTACGTAGCACTGTAGCACTGTCTTCCCTTTGTTCATTTATTTGCTTGAGCAGGCCCAGTAAAAGGTAAAGGTAAAGGCCCTCCCGTTGATCGTCGATTTGCTCGAGCGGGCCCAGTAACGTCTCCATTGGAGACTTTGTTGTTACTGTGTCTGGCATATCGAATACTCTCGGTAGCTTGCCGGGCTCTCCAAGAGGGGCGGAGGAATCGAACTCGGGTCGGCCATGTTGGCTGCGTGTAAGGCGAACGCCCTACCCACTGTGCTATCGCTCCAGCCCAGTAATGTCTCCATTGTGAGATTCGTTGTTACTGTGTTTGGCATATCAAATACGCCACGGGGAGCTTGCCAGGCTTTGCCCTGCGGGCAAGATACTCTCGGTAGCTTGCCAGGCTCTCCGAGAGGGGTGGAGGAATCACGGAGGAATCGAACCCGGCCCGGCTGGCCCGCCATGCGCAAGGAAAACACCCTTCCCCTGTGCTATCACTTCTCTCATCAGAAGTGTCATTCTTCAATGTATGAGTCAAGTACATGCAGCGTTGAATAAGGACAGAGAAACTTTGCTATATCAAAAGAGTTATCCATTACCATAAATGTCTCCTGCTGACTAAAGTCATGCATTGCATATAATTGTAATTAGATATGTAGTAGAATGCATTGACTGAGTTATCCAAGGCTTGTAGGATATGTGTTTGTTTAATTACAATGGAAATAAGCAAGAAAGTAAACACAAGAATATGGGCATATAAGTAAAGTAAAGGCCCTCCCGTTGATCGTCGATTTGGTCGAGCGGGCCCAGTAACGTCTCCATTGGAGACTTTGTTGTTACTGTGTCTGGCATATCGAATACTCTCGGTAGCTTGCCGGGCTCTCCGAGAGGGGCGGAGGAATCGAACTCGGGTCGGCCATGTTGGCCGCGTGTACTGTGCCAGACACAGTAACAACAAAGTCTCCAATGGAGACGTTACTGGACCCGCTCGAGCATGGGCATATAAAAATTCACAAATGATTTTTAATAACAATGAAGAAAAGAAAAAAGAAAAGAAATAAAGCAAAATGGATAACTATATGAAAAAATTGAACAACAGAATATTAAAACAGATATTTCTAACCTCTGAACTTACTGAAATAGAATTCTACAGTACTGTTTGTATGAGGCAACTTTTATGTCTGTATTTAGTAAATAGGGTAATCTTTAATATGATTGTCATTATTTTTTAATTAATCAAAAACCTATCAATATAACCTATAAATATTTATATATAAATACAAACAAATAATTATGCTTTAGTATTAAAAATTTACATATTTAATTTAGCTTTAACTAAAAAATATTCTATTTGCAAAATTTGGTATTATATTTACTGCTATTATAAGAGAAGTACAAATATAAATATCTTAGTTTCCTTTCAGTGAAAATACAGCACAAAATCCAAATATATATATCACATACAAAAATGTGTGTCCTTTCATCCTTGCTTCCTATTATGCACTATTGACAAAACAATTTTGTTTTTACATTCAACTTTATTCGTTATCATGAAAACTCATTTCCCTTATGCGGGAGTATGTTCATTTATGGTGGTTGCAGGGTAAGGAGGTAAGAAGAGGAAGAGATCCCTTAGTGATATGTCAGGGTTCACACAGTTTCCCAAATGCAAAGGAGGGAAAAAGGATCTTCACCTGGCTTCAGGGAATAAAGATGTGCTCAGGGTGGTAAAAAATATGCTTACAAGTCACTGGTTTAAGGTACAGGCCATTCCAGGCAGCCAGGCTGCAAGAGCAGACTTGTGAGAGATTAATTAGCTGCCAGGAAGGAAGTCCCATTCAGAATTCTTTTGCAAGGTGAAAATGGACTAAAGTGATGGAGCATGACAGCACTGCAAGGGATGGAAATGATTTGTACATTTCCATCAAAAACATAAACACTGAAGCCTGATGCAATTTTCTCTCTGTTGCCTGGCCTGCGCTTTTCATATCATTTTGGTCTAGAGAAGTTTGTTCACAAGTAATAGCTCTTCCTTAACTCAGTTCTTATTTTTCCTTTATATCTTTTTTGTCTTTATTCACTTTCCCTGTCCCCTGGATTTAATTTACTTTTCTGATAACTGAAAGAAGGTGGCTCTTTCTTTGAACTTCCAGCTGATAGTAAAACAAAATTATCTACCCTTCTGCTACTGATACCTTTTCTTTTTTTCAAAAAAAAATAAGCAAATAAAAACACATCTCCCAGTCATATGCAAACTCAAAGGAAATCACTTTATAAATAATGTGGGTTTCCTTTGTGAGGCATTACGTTTTAGGGGTTACACTTCTGTATTGTGAGTGTTGGTTTTGGTTTATTATTTTTAAAAATATATTGATACTTGGGGAGGGGGGTTGGAGCGATAGCACAGTGGGTAGGATGCTTGCTGACCCCGAGTTCAATTCCCAGCATCCCATATAGTCCCCTGAGCACCACCAAGAGTAATTCCTGAGTGCAGAGCCAGGAGTAA